GATTATTAGCTAGATAATAGACGCGATTAATACTAGTAGATTTTTTAGTAAATATTTTATTATAGCAATAGGTTAAAAATTATAAAACCTAGCTATTAGAGGACTTTTATTCTATAATAACTACTATATAATTTTTTACTATAGCTTAAGAAGATAGTAGGCCACGCTTAGTAAGTTTTTCTATATATTTTACTAGCTTAGATTCTTATAATAGAGTAAGTAGTTAGCGTTTTTTAGTAGCTACCACACGCGATGTTATTTTATTTTAGTACTAGCGCGTTAATATTAAAATCTTAATACTAAACTTTTTTATAGCTACGTAGTATAAAAGTTAACCTTCTAGACCTTACGAATTAATTACCGCAATCGCTTTTATAAGAGCTGTTATAGTGGTAGAGATATCACGTATTGAAAATGGTGGGTTGATATTTTGGGTGGGGCAGATAGTGTTGCATTGGCTGATTGTTGCANTAGTTAATACTAGTAGATTTTTTAGTAAATATTTTATTATAGTAATAGGTTAAAAATCGTAAAACTTAGCTATTAGAGGGCTCCTATTCTATAATAACTACTATATAATTTTTTACTATAGCTTAAGAAGGTAGTAGGCCACGCTTAGTAAGTTTTTCTATATATTTTACTAGCTTAGATTCTTATAGTAGAGCAAGTAGTTAGTGTTTTTTAGTAGCTACCGCACGCGACGTTGTTTTATTTTAGTACTAGCGCGTTAATATTAAAACCTTAATACTAAACTTTTTTATAGCTATATAGTATAAAAGTTAACCTTCTAGACCTTATAAATTAATTACTATAATCGCTTTTGCAAGAGCTGTTATGGTAGTGGAGATATCACGTGTTGAAAATGGTGGGTTGATATTTTGGGTGGGGCAGATAGTGTTGCATTGGCTGATTGTTGCATTGGGTGAGCACGGACAGTATGCTTCACCGCAAGCGGGTGCAAGTATCCTTATGGATCATTAAAATACTAATGCCTCTCGACTGCCTGATTTACATCATGGTATCATATTTATACACGAACCAGGTAATACTAAAAATGAGGACAACGATATTTTCTTATATAATTCTTATTTTACTTATCAATAGGTCGTGCGCAGTACGGATCATCCGCCAGAAGGAGCAAGAGAGTGTTACTCGTGTTGAAACGGGCGCACTTGGCCGGCTGGTCTATGGCATTATTTCCACGCTCTGTCTATGTGCTCTGTCCTTTGCATTAGGTGTGCTGGCCGAACTAACACTACATCACAGCACTAACACATCACAGGCCTTCGGGTAAAACAATTTAGGAGAAAGGAAAAGTTACCGTTTGCTTGGGTTCTTTGCCATATGCAGACTGTGGTCGCCATGATGCTTGTTATCTCAGGCGCGATCCTAGTGTACGGCCTTAATCTCACTACTTCGAAGCAATGTCGGGCTTCGATCACAGTGTGTCTATTCTTGTACTTCTCTTCGAAGGTATTACTGTAAGTACTCACTAGCACTACTTCTATTCGACGAATTGTCAAGGATTCATTTACAGTAGATACATATTCTATCTGGAGAGGATACACATTGCACGCCAGCCTCTCGCGCGAAGACACAACAGGATATGGATTGGCGGCATGATCATGACCATTGGTTTTTTTGGCGGCATGGCTGTCTGGTGCATCGCCACACCTCACTCTGCTATCAATGTACACGATGGTCATTGTCGAATCGGAAGCGACATGATACCATCGTACACGACCTTTTCCACTGACATCGTTATCAACTTTTCACTCACAGGCGTCTTCATCTGGCTAATTTCACCTGTCCTAAATAATCAAGGACGAGGAACAGCAAGGGTCATGGACGGAATGTCGTGGCCTCCTGCTCTTGGTCCATTCGCACTCAGGGGAGTCCTAAGCAGCAATATCGAGAGAGACGATCCACTTGCTTTGAGCATGAAGAGAATGCTTAGGAGAAATATCATTGGATCTATCTTGACTTTCGCAGCCGGCGCAATCAACCTGATTATCTACTTTGTTGATGCGACTAGTCAGATCGCATTTGTGTGTTACACAATGTGCATCCTCGACGGCATGTCGCCAATCTCACATTTTAGAACCCTAAGCTGACAGATTGACAGTAGTTTTTGGAGTGCTGGTCGTCCAATGGTTAACGTTTGGATCACACGAATCAGAGATGAATCTTAATCAACCGCCTGGTCCCGCTAATCGCACGATGTCTGACCACATCACCATCTCCACAAAAGAATCAAGACAGGAAGCAGAACATAACATTAGCTTTATCACTATGTCTAACAACCTTACTACATAGTATTTAATTAGCTAAGCACTATTATCATACCTTAATATCTACTCCTCTCTCTTGATATATATTAAATGAATTAGTTTAGTAGTAGAAGATATAAAGCGTAAAAGTCTACGCTAGGAAAAGGCTCTAATTTCTTCTATATCTAGAATAATATCTATTTAGCTATTTAATATTATCTTAAACCAAAATATTACAGAAAATATTAAAGTATTAGCTTTTAACTAAAAGCTTCTCTACGATAATCAACTATATATACTAATCTAGTCTATTAGAAACTATATTTAAAAACACTTTATTTACAATATAAGATATAATCTAGATTCATAAATGAAATTTAAAAATATTTTATTTAAGAAATTAAGACAAAAAGATATTTATCTCTAAATCTAATTCTATAAAGTGATGTTATATTTATAAATCTAAATATCTATAATGAAAATTTATAAGTAATAGTTATAGAAAATATAATTAGTAAAAGAGCTAAATATATATTATATCATAGTATCACGGGACTAGTTTATGGTATAAATTAGGATTTTCTTTTATAGGTTGATAGGCATTCTCTCTAATTAATCCTTTATACTAATTAAATTTTAGCTTACTTCTACTTAATTATAGGTTACCTCTTTAATCTTTTAAGCTTAATTATATATTATAGTATATTTTTAGTAACCTAACTAGAGAGATAGTAATAGTCTATGAAGAAAAGAGAAGAATTTAAAGAAAGATTAGAAGATTTAGTAGCTTAAAAGTAAGTTATTAAAGAAGACAGTTAAAATTATTTAGTAATAGAAAGAGATTTAGTAAAGAATAAGATTTAAATAAAAAGACTCTAAGAAGAAAAATTATATAGTATCTCTAAAAGCGTACTAAAACTAAAATTGATTAAAAGTTAAGCTTAGATTAAAACGAGAGTAAAATAAATATAGCTTAAAGAAGAGTGAAAGAAAATAGTTATAAAGGTCTATTAGAAAGCTCTATAATAAGTACTCTAATATAATACTAAGAAAGATTTAAGTTTATAAATACTAATATACTAAGAGTTAATAAATAAAATATTACTAACTTTCTTAAAAAATATAACTTTAAATAGATTTAAGTATTATAATTAAAAAATATTTAAAAGACATAGCGATTATACTTCTATAAATAACGCTATAAAGCTTTTATCTAATGTTACACGGGGTCTAGAGTGCTAATACTTCTCTAGCTCGATCCAGGTTAAGGTAAGTAGGATTAGGGTAAGAAGAGCCTGATCGTCGTTATAGTGTCTCTATAG